CTTTCTTTCTTTCTTTCTTTCTTTCTTTCTTTCTTTCTTTCTTTCTTCCTTCCTTCTTTCTTTCTCTCCTTTTTGCTAATTTTCATGAGCAAGTGTTTTCGGCAAGCACTATGATGTCACCATCTTAGGCTGGCAAGTCTTAACTGATGAACAGATCCTTAGGGTGCTTAGATAGTGCTCTTTTCATGACTGTGAAGGCAGGTGAGAGAGAGGTAAGAGCTCTGTGTGAATTTATGTTCTACATGATAGACATATGTCACTCTTGCTTGTAACCCTGTGACTAATTCACTATGTCTGCTCTTCTGCCTTTTGGTCCATCCTGATCTAGTGACTTTAAATCGTTACTCTACAGATCACACCAGGGACAATGCTCAGATTTTGACCCCGCCTCAACTTTCTTCTAGAATGAAACACATTAAACAAGAAATGGCCAAAAATCACCTCCAGTTTGTACGATTTGAAGCAACAGACTTGCATGGTGTCTCCAGATCTAAGAGCATCCCTGCACAGTTTTTTCAAGTGAGTTTTACAGTTATGATGAGTGTGGTTTTATGACCATTTGAAAGCAAATGCTCTTTATTACTCATCTGCATTTTCTTATAATCTACACAGTAATTTGAGCTGAAAAGCACTAATTTTTTTTCTTTTTTTGCTATTTTCCTTTTTCTTCCCCATACGCATTATTGCTCCCCAAGGAGATAAATGCACAATAGCAATTCCTTTACCCAATAGAAATGGGAAACTAATTAAGGCTGGTTATTTCAGTCCTTGTGCCTTGAATAATTGCACTCTACAGAACTATCTTTTCTTTTCATACTGCAATTATAAAGATTATATTTTATTTGACATGAGAAAATTGCAACCCAAGACCCAAGAGCAAACATGAAAGGTAGAAATGATTAAACAGAGATGATTTTCTAGATAAAAAAGCATATCCTTTCAGCTATAATTCAGATATGAAAATACCCAGTTGTTGTTAGATGGCTTAATGAATTACATTTTGAAAACAGTGACATCAAGCAATATTGCATTTGTGGATATGTTTTCGATTTTTCTAGGGTTGTTTTGTTTACTTTACACCATGTTTATTTTAGTGACGGATATGTTGGGATTATTAAACATCAAGTTTGCTGGGAAGGGATTTTAGACAATATGAATCTTTAAGAAAATATGAAAGTTAAAGCATCCTGGGAATTATAAATATCAAATTGTCAAGTCTTTTGTTCTGGTGAAATGGGTTATTTTCAAAACAGTTTTTAGAAAAGTTGAACAGTTTAAATATCTTTCTTAGAAAATTTTTTAGGAACTTTTTAGGTTCAAAAGGTAAAGGTGCTTGTCATTAAGCCTGAAAAACCTGAGTTCAGTCTCTTGACTCCACATGGTGGAAATAGAGAACTAGTTTTAACAGGTTGTCCTCTGACCACCGCCTACCACACACAAAAACACACACACCCTTACACACACGATCAATCAATCAATGATTTAAAAGTATTTGGTTTTGTGTGTAAATAGCCTAGCAATGTTGTTTTTCTCTAAATTCATTTAAGAACTCTACCTTTTAGTTAATTCTGATAAGAAAATGGGAAATTACTATGTGCAGGACCAGAAGATAATTCACATAAATCTCTTTTAACCAATGAGAAATCACAATTGGCATTTCAGACACTTGCCTGAGACCTCAACATGAACCTTGTATGTTTTCAGAAAATTCTAATAATTTGTTTCACTAGTGGATCTTGTAAACTAAGTACTTAGACCACTACTCCAGTGCTTCAGTGAAACACATTTCCTAAAGAAATAGAGCCCATCCTTTGTCTTATTACATTTGCTGAAGACTGATTTCATTGAAATAAAAGAAAATATCTGTGTTTAAAACTACTATTGAATGCCCAGATCCTCGCAGCTCGGTGAACAATAAAGAAAGGATACATATCACTATTCTAAAAAACAAAACAAAACAAAACAAAACAAAACAAAACAAACCTACTATTGAAAATATTTGTTTTCTTACATATCAAAAGTACTTTTCCTCCCTGACTTGGCTTGGAGAGAATTGTTTTATTCTGAGAATTTGATGTAAGTCAACACATATCCTTTTCATTGGTGTGTTTATTTTTAGCCTCCCATTTTCAAATTCCTACCTGTGGCCTTAGTTCATTATTCTTTTGTTCAAACTTTATAATCATAGAGAATGTATCGTTAAGCAAAACACTTTGAATTCACTTTGGAACTTTTGAAGGTATAAATCACTAGTATTTGTATCACAAAATAAATGTGTTTGGCATCCACTTCTGGAGTCAACCCTGAAGTGTGCCTAATGTAGCTAGTGAGGCTTCAGGGGAGAAAACAATGTTTTCCTTTGCAAGTGGCTATCAGTAGCAGACATCTTGGTTAGGGGAGGGAGTTCAGGTTCACTTCTTCTCAGCACTGGGGTTACAAAAATAATTTTAAATCATTTTTATTTATGGAAATAAAGTACCAAATCAAAATCACTAAGTTATATTAATAATGACTAGAAGAGCTAACATAATGTCTTTATTTATAAAGAAAAACTGTCTCAAACTGTATCAGCAGGCAGCCTCAATGCTGAGACACTAGACCTCGATCCATCTCTTAACAGTTCCGTGGTAACTTTTTTTCTGTATCTACTGCCTTCAGCTCAGCTTTAATCCTTCTTTTATCCTTTATCGGAACTAAGTGTTGCTTCTCATTTTAAATGCAAACGTTGATTAAAAAAAACCAAAAAAGACATCATTGGCTGAAACTAAAGAGGTCAAAGAGGAAACTGATGATTATTTTTTTATAATTTTTTATTTTTTATTATTAGTTACATTTTATTAACTCTGTATCCCAGCTGTATCCTGCTCCCTCATTCCCTCCCAAACCCTCCCTCCCTCATCTCCTCCCTGCCCCTTTCCAAGTCCACTGATAGGGGGCGACCTCCTCCCCATTCATTTGACCTTGTTTTATCAGGTATCTTCAGGACTGGATGCAAAGTCCTCCTCTGTGGCCTAGCAGGACTGCTTCTCCCTTGGGGGTGAGGAGGTCAAAGAGCCTGCCATTGAGTTCCTGTCAGAGATAGTCCCTGTTCCCCTTATTATGGGAAACCAAACTGCTGATTAATTTGGCATCTCCGCTGTTTTAGAAAGTTTCATGTGTGCCTGGCATTGTGCTAAATGCCTTACAGGCTAAATTAGCACTTTCAACCTTTCAACAAACTTACAGTGTCTTGTTCTTTTAAAGGGCTGATTTGATTTAAATTATATACGGATGACGTGATTTCTATCCTAGATTTAGTAAAAGTATGATATATTAATAATTCTTGAGTTGTTTCAAAAGGTAGCTTTCATTGTTCTCCAAGTAATAGGTGTCATAGTTTAAACTTAACCTGCAAAAATTTCTATTAATTCAGAGTGATCTGGCTTGAAGTATGAACCAATTTTGGCGCTTCAGTATTCTCCATATATATATATATTATATATATAATATATATATAATTTAAGATAATTTATTATCATGACAGTTATTAATATACAGAGTAACTATATAGTCATACAGAAATTTATTCATGTCTCACATCAAATGGAGAATGGTTAGAATTCTGCTACATGTCCAAAACTATAAAGAAAAAGATTAAACAAGAGTGCTCTGAAACTTACAGATGAAATAGCCTAACACATAAAGTGTGACTTCGCTGTTCTTCCAGTTTGCAAAGGACTGCTGGAGTCCAATGGTGAACATCTCGGAAGTCCTGGCAAATGGGGTCTGAGGCAGCTGTCCCATGTCCTGGCTAGACCACAGTCTCCTCTTCAGCAGAGCTGTAGGATTCTTTCTGTAGAGTCCCGAGAGTCATCTGGGGGTTACAACAGAATAGAGCACAATCATGACTTGACTTGTCTCTTTTCTAATGGGCTGATATCAATATTTGATATTTACCCAGAAAGGAGAGAACTGGATAGTATAGTGGATCTATTTATTACTGCATTATTCACAATAATTAGAAATAGACTTAACCTAGATTGGTATTGATAGAGGAAAGGATGAAGAAAATGTGCTGCTCAGATATAAACAGTACATTATTTGGACACAAAAAGAATTAAACCGTATAACATGCTGCAGAATGGGTGAAACAGGAGCATATTAAGTGGAATAAGTTAGATACAGAAACAAACACTTTCACACACAGATACTAAAATGTTGCTCTAAATAGGATGGTGAGTAGAAGAGGCTAAAGTGGAAGGGAATGGAGGGATGTAATGGAGGAAGACTGGTTAATAAGCACGGGAACACTGATAAGAGTTCTAGTTCTCTGACACAGTGTGGTGAGTATAGCTCATAATGACATGTTATATATTATTGGCAATGGGACCTTTGTGATCAGGAAACATTGTTTATATGTATGGGATGATCACAATGTGCTCCTTAAATATATAAAGTAAAAATAAAATAAATGAACAATAAAATACAGTACAAGTCAAAGGAAAGCCTTACCTGAGGGTCTTAGAAACTGTACTATAAAATAAAATGCCTGATAAAGTATATTTGTTTATAACAATTGAAAATGCTTTCACACAGTTACAAACCCTTGTCTTTTGCTGTGTAGTGCCTTTCTTTATCTTAAAGCATTTATTTATGGCTGTGTGAAACACTTATGGCTGTTCTTCACATCTAAGAGCATATCAAGGTTTGTATTAAAATATTAATAATTGTAAAAAGGCCCTGAAGGAGAAAACAGTTCTTTCGTGATTTAAGTATTGGATATTTATTCTGAATTATAAAAACTTTACCCGACAGTTAATGTTAACTGACAGATACGAAGCTTCCATTTCTTATTATCAAGATTGATCTTCCCTGTTTTGTCTTCATGTTTTTCTTCTTCAGGAAAAAGTGGTCCACGGTGTTTTCATGCCCCGTGGTTATCTGGAATTGATGCCGAACCCTAAGGACAATGAGCTGAATCACATAAGAGCCACATGCTTCAATAGTGACATAGTCCTCATGCCAGAGCTGGCGACCTTCAGAGTCTTGCCATGGGCTGAGAGGACCGCGCGTGTGATATGTGACACCTTCACGGTGACCGGTGAGCCTCTGCTGACGTCTCCCAGGTACATCGCCAAGAAGCAGCTGCGCCAGTTGCAGGACGCTGGCTACTCCCTGCTGTCCGCCTTCATCTATGACTTCTGCATTTTTGCTGTGCCCGAAGTGATCAACTCAAAGACCATATCTTTTCCTGCCTCGACATTGCTGAATAACCATGACCAGCCCTTCATGCAGGAGCTGGTTGACGGCCTGTATCACACTGGGGCCAATGTGGAGAGCTTCTCCTCTTCTACCAGGCCTGGGCAGATGGAGATCAGCTTCCTCTCTGAGTTTGGCATTAGCTCAGCTGATAACGCGTTCACGCTCAGAGCAGGTGTCAAAGAAGTGGCCAGGAAATACAATTACATAGCCAGCCTAGTAATTGAGACCGGCTTCTGCAATTCAGGAATTTTGTCCCACAGTGTCTGGGATGTGGGCGGGAAGACAAACATATTCTGCAGTGGTTCTGGGGTGGAGCGGCTCACGCTCACGGGGAAGAAGTGGTTAGCAGGCCTCCTGAAGCACGCTGCTGCTCTCAGCTGCCTCATGGCCCCTGCTGTCAGCTGCCGAAAGCGTTACTGCAAGGACAGCAGAGACCTGAAGGACAGCGTGCCCACCACGTGGGGATACAACGACAACAGCTGTGCCTTGAATATCAAGTGTCACGGTGAAAAAGGCACCCAGATAGAAAATAAACTAGGTTCAGCGACCGCGAACCCTTACCTGGTGCTGGCCGCCACTGTGGCTGCAGGCTTGGATGGACTTCAGAGCAGTGATGGTGTTGCGGCTGGTTCAGACGAGAGCGAGGATCTTTATCTGCCAGAACCTTCCGAGATCCCTTTGAAGATGGAAGATGCCCTGGCGGCCTTGGAGCAAGATCAGTGTCTGAAGCAGGCTCTGGGAGAGACTTTCATACGCTATTTTGTTGCCATGAAGAAGTACGAATTGGAAAATGAAGAAACAGATGCAGAAGGAAATAAATTCCTGGAGTATTTTATATAAGATGGAATTCTCCACTTTAGAGATGTTATTAGGACCAGAGGCTACTATGTCAGGAAGAAAAGACTGAGCCTTTGTAATTAACAACACTGGACATCTTCTGCCTCCCCCCTCCCCCCACGATGGATTACTGGGCAGATGAAATGGGACTGCTGAGAGTCTGATCTCAGACATAAGCAATAAATTTGTGGTGAAGCAGCATATGCAAAGTTACTCTGCCTTACCTTCTGTCAACTCCTTTGTGCGGTTAGCCTCGGCTGTGTTTGGGTCCTGCCTTTAGTCACACATTAAAGAAAGACGTAAGCATTAGAAAACAGAATTTTAAAGACTAGGGTAAAAAGAAGAAATAAGATCTTAAGGATAGACATAGGTTTTTCTTACCAGGGAGGCAGAGATGTTAGCTCAGTCTTATTAGTGAAAACATGTTGAGCTTGGCTTTGCATCGCTATGATGGATTTTAACATATCAAGTTGCACAAAGTAGGGCATGACAGGCTACAGAAGTTCTCCCTTCACTTTCCACACTTCTTTCTCACCTTTTGAAAGGTGATCTCTGTGGTACCTGATTCTTTGTCCCATCATTTCAGACTTAAAAAGTGGTAGAAGCCTTTCTTTAAACAATGCACGGTACACAGAGGTTGGAAGGGGGCTGCATTGCTCCATTCTTTGAAAGCAGACATCCGTTTGGAATGTCTCTGCTCTGCAGAGCCACAGAATGACTGCCTGCACAGCCGAGGCTCTGTCTGCAGCTCCAGTGCACACTTAAATTACTAATTACATTGCCACAGAGGTTGGTGTTTCTAGTCTCCAGAGACTAGAAAATGTTCCAGGCCTTTCTTTGACTGTGATAATATTGCAACTTATCACCGAAATTTAGCGTCTCTTGGGAACAAGTCCAATATCTACTTACTTGCAAATGAAAACATTGTTCCACTGCTTAGGATCAAATAGGAGATTTTATGTTCAATTAAAACTGGCTGTGGTCTCAATTTAGATGGCAAACTCTTAAGGAGAATGCTAGAATTTAGCTTCACTCCTCTTGTTAAAGTTCTTCACTCCTAGTAAATGGTGAAAGTCAGTGTGCCCTTCACTGATTGTTAGCCGACTCTCATCTTCCAGCAGAAGACACGTGTATGGAAACAGAATAAAATCCACACATGGAGTAAGAGTTAGAGGGAACTAACACACGGTGAGAAGAAAGTGAGGCTCAGAGCATGAAATTCTGTTTGCAGTAATAAAAGTTCAGTGTGTCACTTGGGAAGAAACAATGAAAACCAAAGTGGTTTCTGAGCCTCTGCTGTACTGAATGTGCTGCTGTTATTAAGTTCAGCCAGAGACCGAGGTGGAGCAGTTTACACAAGCCCTAGCTAGGTTCCTTGGAGGACAAAAGCAGGTGTCTTGCCTTCTCCCTTCTGTTTTTACCCTTTATGCTGACTGGTCCCTAGAACATGAGGCTAGCCAGTTTCTTCTAGAAGGTACAGTGATGAAATATTGACAACAAAGCACCATGTTTCTTTGTGTGTGTGTGTGTGTGTGTGTGTGTGTGTGTTGGGAATTGGGGGATAAAAGACAGAGATAAAAGACCCAGCAAAAGATAGTTTCTGAAAACTTTACATTTCTGGGGCTGGGGGTGGGGATCTGTGTTAATTAGAGGGATCCATTCATGCAAAAAATTGTACTATTTCTTACTCTAATAGAACTGTATAGAATCTTTTAACTTCACAGGCCTTAATGAAACTTGTGTAGTGTTTTTCTTGGTTTTACTACTGTGAGTATGAGATGCTATAAAAACTCTACTAATCACAATGTTTTCAGTCTTTATTTCATTGTCTTTATAACATTATCAGCATAATTTAAAAAGTACAGTATGCAAGGTCCCATTGTGAGGGGATTACATAATTGGGAAAGTTATCATTCTAGGTTTATGGTGGTTAGTCAGCAGAAAACATTAAACAACATATTACAAGTCAGTTCCATAGCATGCATTGGTATGGCAGCCTCCATAGCAACCTACATTAGATGTGTGTAATTGTATACTTTTGTTCCTTAAAAAAAAAGTCAAAGGTGAGCACTGGACAAGACAGTGTAGGAGTAAGGAAAACTTGGGTAGAGTAAATATAAATTTTTAGTTAATTCTTTTTCTATTTCTTTTTCCTCTAATCCTGATCTTCCCACTGAGGAGCAAGGCCTGTTCTGCTACTGCCTCTGTGTTCCTGGTCTGCAGGGACCAGAAATCCATTTTTGTGTGATAAGCCAGGGGAGACCAAGTCAGAAAAAAATTGGTAGGCCACGGAAGAGCTTGGAATCTGTGTGTCTTACGGAGAATAGAACAAATTTTCCCCCTCCAAATGTAGGCCCTATGCTGGAAAAAAAAAAAAAAAAAAAAAAAACACAAAACATTTAGAAGAGTGTTTTATAGCTTGAAAAGGATGCCTTTTGAATCCCCTTACAGAAATTGCTTTCTTATTTTCATTTGCCATAATTGTTCTAATCAAAGTTTAGGAGAAATGTGATTCCTGAATTTAAAGTTGGTTATTAAATGGGTATACGTAAGACTCTAAATTAAAAACTACGCTTCAAGAGTAAAAACTAAAACATTAGCATAATAAAAAGTTACTATTTAAAGGATATTTTAGAATCTAAAATTTTAGAATCTAAAATCTAGAATCTAAAATTCTGTTTTAATATTCTGTGAATCACAGTAAAGCTTGAAACAGTGGTTTTGAAGGTGGTGAAGGATAAAACTTGGAGTCATGCGGTAAATCCTGAACATGTTGGCTACACAGCGCAGTTAGATGTTCACTGATGTACCTTCAGCCACGTGCTAACCAGAGAAGCCTTACCAATGTTTGTGATGCATGGTATTGGTCAGAATCATTAGTAGAGGGGTTTCTGTTCCAGGTGTTAGAACATCTGCCTCTAAACATCTCCTGTGTTAACTATGATTCCTTCTGTTGCCTGAAACAGACTCCACACATTTCCTGATTGGGGTGTGAATTCTGAGAATGAAGAACACATGTCTTTCCACATTTGTCTTTAGATACCTTATTCCCTGAGTTAGTTCTAGACTTGGGAGATGTCAGTCAAGTAGGGCATAAAGAAACCCATACAGCAATACTGTCCTAGTACCACGTAATGTACACATATTCATTTGTCCAGAGACAGGGAGGGGAGAGTAACACAGCACAGCTACAGGAAGCAGCGATTCACAGTTTTATTGGCCGTGAGGTGTGTTTTCCTTTAGAACTCTCCTATTTCTAGAAACTCTCAAGGAAACAACTTTTGGTTGGCTTGTTGGAGATTATATTAAACAGTTGCAGGGAAATTGTCATGGTTTTGGTACAAGAAACTTTTCAAATTTTTTTTTCCTGTGCAATGCCTCCTTGTGGATTCTGTCTCTCAGAAAAGAAGTGAGAATCTCACCTTTTCAGTTTCTCTTGCAGCCAAGGTATAAGAACCGCCAATCAGGCGCAGACGGGGAACCTATGTGAAGCCCATAGTAAGTAAGCTTGAGTGAGCCGGGAATGACAGGCATCAAAGTGTCAGCATCCTGCTGGTGACACCAGGTGGGGCTGCTGCCAGTGATGGCTCCCATAGGTCTCGGGAGCATCAGGAATAACTTCCAAACCTTCATTTCTGGGCCTTTCCAGTTCTGTGAATTAGTGGACATTTTAAAGGATATGTTCTTCTCTATTTAACGTTATCTATATCTATATCATCTATAACTACATCTATATAAAACACAGTACCATATACACTATATAATATATTCCTCTCTATTATATTAATATACACATTCTGTATATGGTACTTTAAATAGAGAGGAATATACATTATATATATAATATATATGTAATGGAAGCATAGTTTCTAAAAACATAGTTTCTAAAAGGAAGTGCAAGAAACAAGAAATGCGTGTTTATTAGAGGCGGGATAATTTAATGCTTATACTAGATTCAGAGTAAACGAAGGTCTATTCATCCCGAGAACATAACATTCATTATCTAAGTGCTTTCTCCTTTATTGGCCCTGCAGTTTTGTGAGAAATGTACATGTTTATGTTAGAAATGAGAGTGTAAGATTCAGAGAAGAGAGAGCTAGAAGAATTGGAACCAAATCCTCATGTCCATTCTGCCTGTTTTGGTCTCTATGCTATTCCTCAATGCCATGGACTATACATTCCCAGCAGCAATGACAATTATCCTAAGGGTTTTCTGTCAGTTTTAAGGTTCTATGCACCAAATACAGGCAGATACTGAAGTAACTGGACCTTTCCCTGTGTCAAATGTGGCTCCTGTGGCTTTAGTCAATATGCCTGACTACAAATGAAGAGGAACTGCTCAATATGTCCAGTAACCCTCTAGGACAGAAAACCCGTCACAGAGGAACAGCATGCTTTGAAACCATTTCGGACACTTCTCAAAGAGCAGAAGTTTAAACATCAAATAATTCTGTAAATGTTTGAACATAAAAATTACCTTGCTGAAATTTCTGCAAGTTTTAAGAATTTGAACTGATTCCATTTCAATTATGTTTTCATTGTTAGATATAATCTTCAGCAAATACTCAGAATTCATTGGGAGCATGAATGATTGGAATCTTCTGTCTGGCTGTTTAAGTAGTGGTAGATTGAGACCATTGACTTAGGGGCCAACCAAATGACTCAGTGGGTAAAGGCGCTTGCTGCCAAGGTTGACGAAGTGAGTTTGACCTTCACAACTCACATGGAAGAAAGAGAGAACGGATTTCACAAACTGTTGGGCTTTCATGTCTGACTTCCATGTGAGCCATGATACGTACACCTCTTATGAATGAATGAAGAAATAAATAAACGGAATGAATAAAGAGGAATATAGATGGACTATCAGTGATAACATAAATGGAGGGGAAGATATTTTAAAGGGGATGGCATTGCCACCCAACAAAGAGAATAGGAGAGGTTGCTTTCTTTCCTAGATTAGGATTTTTTTATTGGCCACATTAATTTCATCCAGAAAGAAAGGAAACTAATCAATAACCCCAAGCATTCAATATTGTGCAACTGCTGACATGTGATTCACTTTACAGGCATTGGTTATCAATTCATGAGGCTTGGACAGAAAACGTGAACAAATGGCCGCACGCTAATTTCCAAACATAA